TGTGGACGTGAGGTGTATCAGATGTCACCGCCAGCCTGAGGATACTGAGCATTTGTGGGGCACGTGCCCCCTCTCATTTCGAATATGGAAATGGTGATCGCATCATTGGAAGGAGTTTGGCGGTCCTGCAGAGGTAGAATGGGACCTGGAATGGGCAAGAACGGGGCAGCTCAGATACCCACTGAAAAGTGGGAAGAAGTGGGGGTATGTGGCAACGACAATCCGTGCACTCGTGATTTGGTGGATTTGGAAGGAGAGGAGCTCTGTGCTATTTCAAGGCAAATACTTTTCGGATGCAGAATTGAAGAGCGGTATGAAGACCTCACTCAGGTGCACGATACTGGTGGATTGGAAGAAAAAAGTCCTTTCAAAGGCTGTACCAGGACGTGACAGGGCAAGGTTGTGGTTTTTGCGCTCATGGGCCAAGAACAATCGGCTGGTAGCCGTATCAGCTTTAACAGGGAAACTTGTGCTATCTCCATGGCTAAGGGCAAAGTAACCCGCAGAAGAAGAGTAGGGTAGCAGGGAAAGGCCCCTCTGGAGAGTAGTTCCTCCAGTAGGGGCAAGAATCGGGACTTTGGGTACTTGCAACTTGGTCTGGGAGAAGGGAGGGGAATAATTGTAGTAGTTGATGGAATATGGGAGCCAGAGGGAGAAGGAATACGGGAGTTAGAGGGAAATGGGGTGCGGGGCAGGAATGTCGGACTCGAATACAAGGTTGGTCCTACCTGCCACTCGGTAGCTCCGTACGCCTTGAGGTTCTGAGGTTCTGATTGATAGGCCTGGATCCAGAATAGGGTCAAGGGGGGCGCCTTTTATAGAGTAAGCGTGAGTGGGGCCATGCATTTTTGTTTCGTTTGCCAGGTTGGTCTGGCAAGGCTATTGCGCTGGTCTGTTGTGCTGTGCCAGGTTGGTCTGGCTAGGCTAATGCCATGGTCTGCAATGTGCGTTGTCAGGTTGGTCTGGCAGCATCAAACTTGTGTCGGTTCCGGGTATAATTGTGAGGTCCCCAACCTCCCTTGCTCTTTATTTTAATAAACAAATTGGATTGTTAAGGGGGAAAAAAAAAAAAAAAAAAAAAAAAAAAAAAACGGAAAACATGCAGCGAAAAAAAAAAAAAATCATAAAAGGAAGGGCAAGGAAACAAAGGTAAGGGTGGTACCAATGGGCTCAGTTGGTACACCCACGAACTGTTGAAATGGAGATGGAGACCGTGAGGGTCCAATTCCATAGAGTACTCGAGATGTGTGAGAGCAGGTCAGTTTGACATAATATATATATACAGCTTCCTGATGAGTCGGTGAAACTCCGACGAAACAGTTTGTCACAGCCCCTCGTTTGTTGTCCTCTTCTCTCTCTGTGCCTACGGTTTACCGGGCAGTTCTGTTTGTGACGATATATGCTACGACTTCGCTAGCTTCCTGCTACGGTTTTTTCCGGTCAGGTCGAGCGGCAGTGGTCGGGGCCGTTAGTAGGCGGCCATGCTGTGCCTCTAGTGCCAGCGGCGTGTCTGGAGTGTATTTTTTGGCTGTGACAGACCTTTCTTTGT